GTTCCTCTGACATAACCAGAGCACCTTCTTCCATGTTTGTTGTACATATGATGGCTTCCTGCAAACTGCAGACTCCTAAAGAAATTATTATTTTCAGTAATCATTAAATAAAATACCAAAGAATGCATGGCAAATAGTTTACAACTTAAAAACCACTTTATCTGTTACCTTTCTGCTTTCGGCTTTGATTGTTCAGTTAATTAATTAATTCTCTTAAAGAAACCTTGGAGTCCTTTGTGAAACAGCTGTATTCACATTGAGCCTAAATTAACCCATTTAGGCCGGGAAAGCATTACCGCATTTCTACCATTCAAGCCGGGGGTGCTGTTGCGTCATTCTACCATTGACGCCGGTGTAGGTACCAGATTGACTCGGGCTGCCAGATTGACTCGGGGGCCTGCGCCTTTTGAGATGCGTCAGAGCGTCCGCCATCTTAAATGTGGCAAATCTGCAGTTTCTCAGTCACTTAAACAGTATCAGAGGGACTTTAATCTCTGAATATACTTTGTATTCGTAGTATTTTTGGTTTTGTAATATTACAAGTTTATTTTTTGTATCCCTTTAGCTTCATTCTCCTGAATTTATTCTCGTTACAAATGCAGACCGCGGGCTCAATGTAGTTTGTTTGAGTGGCATTGCCATAATGTCACGTCATCGGGAGGCGCAAGGCCCATGGCGAATTCGGTGACGTCATCAGAAGGCGCAGGGACCATGGAGAATGTCTTCGTAAAATTGTCCGTTTACAAACAGCAATCCCGCTTTCGAATAAAACCTACACCCCGCTATAATTACTTTAGTAAGCTGTCCAGACCAATCAAAATGTTTTGCGCAATTGTGCAAACGTTAAAACAATTATGTATTGTGACGTCATCAAAAGGCGCAGGCCCCCGAGTCAATCTGGCAGCCCGAGTCAATCTGGTACCTACACCGGGAGAGCATATAAGTCAAGCAAGAAGAAAGAAGTTTTTTTCAAGCAAACATGGAGGAGTTTGACAGAGAAGAGTTGTCGGAAGGCAGTGATTTTGAGGAGTGTGTCGGCTTTGATGACGGTATAGATGAAAATGATGACTTTGAACGCGCTGAACCAATCGAACTACCACCGCAATGCACGGAGTGTTTTCAACCGCACACCTGGAGTGAAAGTTGATTTGCCTGCAGACGCCACACCGCTGCAGGCATTTGAGCATATTTTTAATGAAGAACTTTGGATGCATCTTGTTACCGAGACGAATAGGTACAGTGACCAAACAAACCAAACTCCAACAAGAGCAAAGATGGCAAAGTGGTCACCCGTGACTGTGACGGAGATGAAGACATTTATTGGGCTGTGTATGTAAACCTCTCTTCAGGACGCAGTTCCCCCAAAATATGTCCCGGGACAGATTTGTGGCCATCTGGAGGTAAGTTGTATGCAATTTATAACACAGACATATGCATTATTATGCATAATAATACTGTTAATAAGTAATCATCAGATAGTTATTTATGTAATGTTTGTTCTTTATTTTGAAAACGTTTTATATTGCACATTCTCAATGAAGACATGATCACATATGGAAAAAATAAAAGGTTGAATTTTTTTTTTGATTACTGCTTTTCACATTTTTTTTTTTTGGAAGAATTTCAAAGATAAAATATATTTTGAGTTCTATCTGCTACAGAAGCTGAGATATCAATAATTTAGGCGTTGACACAGTTGCTGAATTTACAGAAAAACTTCAGGTTTTAGGGGTATTTTTTAAAATCGGCCATAGGTTTTTAAGGTGTTTTTTCCAGGCGTTTTAGGCCTAAATGGGTTAAACATGCATAGAATCTAATAATCAGATTTTAAGTTGCTCTGAATTTAACTCAGTTCAGATGATTAAATACACACCCCACTTTTCCGATTCACCCTTAAAAAAAATTGCAAACCATGAATTATTCTCCTTCTTATTTAACATTCTGCATTATATTTGCTTGGAGCTCCATTGTACTGAAGATTTGTTTTAACTGAGGAGATACTGTGAAATAATCAGTAGTTACAAATCGTAGCCATTCATTAAAACATAACAGGGAGGTTTTTCCCAGTCTAGATGACCCTTATTGACCAGAAAAAATGCATTTGCTTGAATTTTAAAAGCAATGGAGCATTATTAATAATAGCTTTCCAAACATTTGACTTTTACTACTTATTAGTTATCAGTTTCAGTTTACTAACCTTAAATAGTTTTTTTTCTTTTTTACTTTTACTTTGAACAAATTTATGATATATAATTTCATTAAACTGATGAGCCTAGTGCCTGGGGTCTGCTCTGATTTACAAACTGTGAACACTCAATTAGCTCCCAGTTTCTTCTAAACACTCTTGTCAAACTGTCACTTTGTCTTTTATTTAATCTTTTCATGGTTCAATAAACATATTTTTCTGACTACACAATCAAGGCTTTTCTTTTTTATCTGAGGAATATACAGCTCCAACAATTAGCTTTGGGGTTTTCAGATTTTCTTTTCAAGTCCTTCTTCTCTGATCTCATGTCACAAAATTTGTTTTAATCAGATGCACAGATTTATATTTTTGTACAACAACCATCTGCCTATCCATCCATCCATCCATCCATCCATCCATCCATCCATCCATCCATCCATCCATCCATCCATCCATCCATCCATCCATCCAGAAAAAAATATTGACCGACTTTCATATAAAAACTTGAGTCTGTTTGGTAGCTTTGTAAACCAATACACCAGCTGCCCCTCTATTTTCTGACAGAATATCTAACATCAAATGTTTGCCTTTCCAAAGATTTTGGCCACAGAGGGATATAGGCCTACTTGTTTCGAACTTAGTAGTCACCCAGTTTAAACTAAAAGCGACGTCAAAGGAATTTGAGAAGAATTTAACTGTTGTTGATAGAGTTAGGAGATTAAGATTTTTTTTTAGCACCTTTCATTGTGTTTTTTATTGAAAAACAAACAAACATGAATTTATGGATTTCATAGAGATGATGACTTAATAACTTTTATTGAAAAAGCTGCAGAAACTGAGTTCCTCCAACCCCTGCCTGGCCAGGTTATAGTGTCTCCTGATAACTTAAATAACACCAAAAAAGGAATCTCCAATATTTCTAAACACAAAGAGGATAGTTTATTTAACAGCAGCATTGCTATCAGTGCAGCAGATGATTTTTTTCAGTACATTATGCTTTAGCTTTGCTAGGAGGTTCCTTGTTTGTTTTTTTGTTTTTTTAGGGGGGTTGTTGTTGTTTTTATAACCTCACATATATACCAAAAGGATTGAGTTCTCCATTGTTAAAGTATGATTTAACAATTTTATCAAAGTTAACAGATATTAGCCCAGAGGATGTTGAAAATGTGATTATTTTAAACCAACTTTGTTTCTTAGTTTAATCAAAAACAAATGTTTTTTAAAAAAAATAGGCTCAACCAACCCTTAAAACGACTCCAGCATGTTTAGATCCTAGAGACATGCATTTTTTCGACCAATATTTCTACTTTTTCTTATTATAAATTAACATTGATTTGACAAAAATATCAGCCTTATATTTAAATGATATGGTTAATGTTAAATTATCTAAAATATGTTTTAAAATATATTTAATATAAATAAAATATATTATTTGTTTATTTTGTTGTGCATCGGCTAAAATAGCATATTCAATCTACCAGCTAAGGTGATACATTTTACATGTTAAAAAATGATGCAGCCTGTCCATCTGCATCTAAAGATGCAAACAAACATAGGTGCAAATAATGCCAAATTGAGGAAACAATGTTACTTAAATTAATGCAAAGGTATCCAGTTGCTCAGTCTGTGATGATAAAGGTTCTCTTTCCCAGCAGTGGTTCAAGTTATTGAGGATGTCAAGTATTGGAGCCCTTGGAGGCTGAGTTTAAGGCTTTTGTCATTAATTATAAAAAAATTAAACAGCACAACTCAAAATAATAACCTTTTCTTTTTTTTTTAATAAATGCTCCGTACATTTACACCTATCATTCGATCAAAATACAACATGGATATGACAAAGCTGCTTTATAAAAAATATAAATGTTTGATATACTTGCAAATGTACTTGTTTAACTGGTGTCTAGACAAATGTAAAATAAACTTTCAAGATACACACAAATACACCAAGATGGGAAACAGTAGGAGAGCAGCTTTAAGTTTTACTTAAGTCTTATACTGTAGATCCAAGTATAATAAGGAATGGAGTCCAAAACGTTTATTGAGAAAGTTTTTCCTGTCATTTGCACCTAAATAGGAACAGTCATTGATAATTACAAAGACCTTAAATAAGTGAATTCTTGTATTTTAGGTGTAGTTCTAATAAAAATAGACATTATGGAAAAGAAATGCAACCAAACTGGTTAAAATGCGTCTTAAGAATTAAAAATGCGTGGAGATAGGGGAAAAGGTTCTAAAAGTATCTAAAGTATCTAAAACGTATTCTGGTTATTCCTTTGCTGTTTACAACAAGGACAAGAGTTTTAGAATACAGAAGGGGGATTTGGTGTGTTTCATTTTGATTGTACAAAAAAAAGATAAAAAAAAAAAAAGAATAAAGTTACTTAGACATCCAAAAAGAACAGCTTTTGGCAAATTGCACAATATTCCCCGAAATAAAAGGAAAATAAAAGGCTATCAAATACGACAAAAAGCATAAAGTTAGAGTAAAACTCACCAAAGAAACAGAGGAAAAAAATTGCATATAATGACTTATGTTTTTTATTACTCTGCCACAGCACAGGAGTTTCAGAAATGCTGCGAGAGACACAACAAACACTGCATTTGAATAGACAGGGTGTAAAATTCACAATATAATGTATAATTCAGCCCTGCACAGTGGATTTAACTCCACTCCCCAGCTGGTACAGAGAGCCACTTTAAAACAGCATGTAGTGCTACAGCTGGGACCCTGAGCTGTTACTGATATACTGCGGCTCCTTTTTGACTGCATTTCACTCCAGAATCTGCAATAGATCAACCCACACAAGAAAGGCACATTTTTATGCAGGTCTTCATGTTTTCCAGCAGTTTGTTTGGAGGGGGGGTTGGCTCAGTCTTCCAAAACACACATTCTCCAAACTATGGGTGATGCACGGAAAAAGACAGCAGGATTACATAAAGTGCAAATGTTCACACACAGATGTTTTTTGGTGCGTGGCACACACATACAAACTCGTGAGAATAGTGTTTTCCATAGACAAATTGGCCCTATCAGATTGCAGGCCCCGTTGCCATGACAATAAATTCATTTAGCCAAAACACTAGTTTCTTAATTATGACTTATTGTACCCTCCGCCCTATCCTGTGGGATAATTTTTTTCCCAGCATAATGCATAGCAATGCAGCCCTTAAAGAAGAAAACTAATTGATCAAATGTGACAGAAAAAACTCTGCAATGCTCAGACATAAAGCAAAGATGATTACTCTGGGAATAGACAAAAAAAAATTCTTGAAGCTTAATCTGTTAAACTCCATCTCCAACCGTTTAGCATTTTCTATACTTAAATGTATTATATCTGGTTTTAAAAAAAGGGGGGGGGACAATTTACATCTTTATTTTGAGAGTAACTGCATTCCTTAGCAATGCACACCAGCCACAGAAAAAGTAATAATTTGCCCCGAGAAAGAAATCAAACTCTGTCAGCAACAGGAAAGTAAAAGGAAATCTGTTTTTTAAGATATAGTGTTGAAAATCAAATAAAATGAGGCGGCAGACAGATAAAATGACATCAGATGCTAAAATTGAGTGCTCCTGCAAAGACAAAATTGCATTATGGATGTCAAAACAAGATTGTGGGTTGATGTATGTGAATGGACAGATTGCTTTAAATTACATTGGTACAATGACATTGCCTACCTAAGATAGAAAATTATTTGAATATTCCTTCCTTTGAGCTAGCGAACTTCTGTGCAGTGTTACAGAATCTAAAACAGCCATTTATCTTGTGAACCATTTATTCAGAAGGGTCCTAAATGGATTGTTTTCTTTGATTCACTGAAGCTTAAAGCACCATGTGCTTTAACCAGTGTAGAATTTTAAGGTTTATGTTGTAACTGCTTTGAAATAAATGCAGATGTGCAAAATGCTTTAAAAAATATATTTTACTATACAGATCTTTGTTTATCAGATTTTTTTATTTATTTTTTTAGAAATTGGTAAATGCTAGATAACAGAAAAAAATGTTTTTGAGCTTACAACAAAAAAGCTTAAACTGTGAGTTATTTTCTAATTTGGCATTAGTGATTGTAGTATTTATCTTTTTGAAGATTTCTTTAGTTTTAAATGGATTTTCCTCACAACTTCTGTTTGCAGTTAGTCAGAAAATGCTATGACTCTCCCCTTTTGGACTTTGAGTTTTTAGTTTTCGGTCATCTAAGTAATTCTGTTTCGTTCATCTTTGGTTTATTTTCCTTTTTTTGTTATATTTAAGTAGTCTCAAGTTCTCTCTGTTGCCCCCTTGTGCCTGCCTGCTTTCACCTGGCTCCCATCTAGTCACTTCCATCCACACCTGTTCCATATCAGTTGATTACCCCAGTCTTTGTTCTGTCTCCCATATATAGGCTGCATTCGGATTCATGGGCTGCGTCTTCCAAAGGCCAGATTCACAGGCTGATTATGTCATAGCGCGGCGCCGAGGTCTGGTCGGATTCCAAGACTCCTTGTAATGCGGCCATAAAATGCATTCTTCTTTTTGCCTGATTTGAAGGGTGGGCCTGGTGAATGCTATCTATGCTTTGTTATCCAAGGATTCATTGCAAGGCCAAGCAACCCGGCTGCTCCGTGATCAGAGGAAAAAGGTACTTGGTGCCGAACAGTGGTGAATATTGGAAGTTCAGTTTAATATAATTCAAGTATCTGAATATTTCCATCTGAAATTAATGAAAATAGTTGTTTTAAGTGGTTATTGGATTAGACATGTGGCAGGTAATGTTTGATTTATCTAAAGGTTTTTATCTGTGTAAATGGGTTTGGCTGTAATTTAAGGACATATTCTAATATATTTGCAGTGTGGGGACTATAAATCAGATTTTTTTATTACTATTTCACACAATTTGCATGTTTTTTGTTGTTGAAAATAAGAGAGTGTACAGCTATATTTTTTATACATACATTGTTTAGATTTACTTATATCTTCCTACCCCTTTTAAAGAATACAATAGAATGGAATAGAATAGAATGGGGAAATACTGGTGTTTACAACAGCAAAAAGATTATAGGTAAAAATGGTCACACAAATGTGGACCTTAGAAAAATGTATAAGAATAACATAATAGTGAAGAGTTAAAAGATAAACAATAAAATACTATAATGTAAAATGTTTTAACATTGCCCTGAAAAGTTCAGTATTCATTCTTTTCCTGCTTTGTGCGTCACTGTCACAGTTGCTAAGCGACAGGGCTTACAGCGGTAAACGCTAGACCTGTTTGAATTCACAGCTAAAACTCTTCCGGTCTCCTTATTTTCATGGACTTGGAAGGATCCAGTCCAGGTATACCGCGTCCTTGGAAGACGCAACCAAATAATTCGAATATACCCATACTCTCCCTTTGCAGTTCTTCAGTGCTTGTTCCTTTTTATTACTTAGCAGCCCATGTGTGTTTTCTCCTGACGTTTCCTGGATTTTCGGGTTTGATTCTTGGATTTTGTTTCTGTTGCCCTTTTACTCCATTAAACCTACAAGAACTCATCTCTGCCTCCCTCATCTCTGCATTTGGATCCTCAACCAACCTCCACCCTCGGGTTGACAGAAAAATGTTTATAGCAGACAATGATGGAGGGCAAAAACCAACTCGAAACATCACATAGGCCGTGTTAAAGAATAAAAAACACACCTCTAGAGGATGCTTAGACTGAGAATGGTTTCTATGGATGGATGAAACGAAATGGCAGCATTATGTCATAAGACTTCTAAGGACTGAGGCATATTTTTTTTCTGCTTTTGTCCTTCAGTGTGTGCACACGCTCTTTTCTCTGCTCCCTGCTTGCTTACACTTTCTGGTCCTTTTATCTTCTTTTTATCTCTTAACCAAAACTACAGAAAGTTGGATTTAGTTATTTGATTTATTTTCTTTTATTTCTTTTTAAATATTTTTATTTTTATTTATTTATTTATTTTTTTTCTTCCCCGAAGTGGATATGGAGAAGAACCACCCGATTCAAAGGATGCCTACCTTCAGCACAGACGACTTTGACAAGCTTCTACAGAAAATAGCTGTCATGGAGCTGAAAATCCACCAACTTGAAGTAAACTATGATGTAAACGCCGCGTATGGTAATGAAACAACGCTGCCTGTGATTCCGAACGGGGACCACCAGCCCAGCAACTCAGCAAACAAACAGTTCCCAGAGGAAAAGGAGAATCCCTGGACCACTCTGGGTGCTAGACCAAAGGATCAACGAACCCACCTAGACACAGAAAACTGGCCGAGACCACAGAGAGATATCCCAAGAAAAGTGAAACAAAAACGTGATGTTCTCACAACAAATGATAGGAGTAAACCTGCTGGAAATATTGGAATTCCGTTACAAAACAGATTTGCTCCACTTCAAGATGAGACCCAGAAGGATCACAAAGACAATCAAAGGTATGTCAACAATCTTCACTCTAAGCTACCAGAGAAAAAACAAGCCACAGGGCCAAGGACCCTGATATTATGCAATGGATCTATACGTGGGATTAAACATTTCTGTAACAAGAAAAACACAGAGGTGTTGATTTATAACCCTTTGAACTATGGCCTGGTGTCTAATGTAACAGACATCCTTCCAGAGATCATGAAAAAACGCCCGACCTTGGAAAAACTCATCATACAAGCTGAAGCCTTGGGCGACGCAGCCCTGAGAAAATCAGAAATACTGAAAGAGGATTACATTCGTCTGCTGAATTTAGTTGATGGTCTTAATGTCAAGGTGTTTCTCAGCGGCCCTCACGTGCCCATTAATTGTGGAGATGAAATGTTTTCCAGAGTTCTGATGTTAAACAAATGGCTGGATGCAACATGCAAACAAACAACTGTAATGTTCATAGACAATTTTAACATCTTTTGGGAGAGGAGACATTTGTTCAACAGAGATGGTTTCTCTTTAAATAGGTCAGGAGCGAAACGGCTGATATCAAACATTTTCTATTCTGTGAACCATGCACCATTAGCTTTGTTCCAAAACAAAGTACAACCAGTGCCTAAACAAACGATAAGCCCAGTAAAGCCCGAACAAGCCAAGATAAAGATGGCCAAAAAGATGACACAGAAAGAGCCTACATCAGAACTACAGGAGGATTCATCCCAGATCTCAGCAGGACAAAAAGAGGACTCCCCTTTAAATTACCAAAAACCTCCATCCCCACAGACACCAGTCCAGACTGCACCCAATTCCCCCTCTCCCCCACAAAGCCCAGATGTTCCTTTTCTGGAATTTTCTCATAACATGAACAAAGTTTTCAAGATTGGCCTACAGTTGACATCCTCTCCACATAGCCATTCCGAAAGCCGCAGCTATGTGAAAAAACCAGCATCTTCTAAAAGCAGCAGAGCCCCAGATCCTCCTCTACAGATCACGGAACGTCAGGACCTTCAGATAACTTCTCCGTGATACACACCGGGCCCCGGCAACAAGCTTATCAGACACAACAGTTTCCAGCATCAGCTTGGGCCTTACACTGGAGCTTATGGAATATCTGTGATGATACGTGGCAGAAATAAGAAAAACAAAATGGGAACAAACAGGAACAGACACTTAAGAGTCATAAACTGTCAGATGCAGCCTGCTACAGAGACAACATCAACCACTAATTCATATAAACTGGCTTTATTAAACATTAGATCTCTGTCAGGAAAATCCCTTTTAATTAATGACTTTATTATTGACAATAATGTTGATGTTATGTTTTTAACAGAAACGTGGTTACATGGACTTAATGAAGCACATATTCTGTTGGAGTCGTCTCCTTCAAACTACAATTTTCTTTGCGAGAGCAGACAGCAAAGGAAAGGTGGAGGAGTGGCAACATTGTTTAATGACTCACTGAAGTGTAAAAAGGTGTTTTTGGGAAAATTTGACTCTTTTGAACATTTGGCTC